TTATAGGGAGTTTGTATCTCATTGCCTTCCCTTAATGAGTGTTGTGTTTTGTTCTGGAGGCTGGAACTTAATGACTGGCTCCTTCCACTCTGTCACTTTTTTCTTTGTTGGGGGGATCTAGTTCAGTTTTTCTTTGGTTTCAGATTCTCATTGTCAGTATGGTACCCTCAAAGACTGGCTTTTATTTATTTATTTATTTACTTGAAAGGCAAGCAGAGTTACTGAGAGAAAGGGAGAGACAGAGAGAGAGCTCTTCCACCTGCTGGTCCATTCCCCAAATGGCTGCAATGGCCAGGTCAAAGCCAGGAGTTTCCTCCGGGTCTCCCACGTGGATGTAGGGGCCCAAGCACTTGAGCCATCTTACACTGCTTTCCCAGGTACATTAGCAGGGAGCTGCACTGGAAGTGGAGCAGCTGCTATTGGAAGAAGTGCTCATATGGGATGCTGGCGACACAAGCGGCGCTTAACCCACTAGGCCACAAGGCAGCCCCATGGACTTGCCTTTCTAAGGCATAGACTGACTTCTGAAGGCGGTGGGTGGCATCTCCCCACATTAGCTGGGTTAGAACTCCTGCCACTCCCAGCACAGCACCACCCTGGGCACCCCCATCAGCTCCCAGGGCTGCACCACAATTTCGAGTCAATTCAGTGGCCCTGAGTCTCTGTATGGGCCTCTGCAGATCAGCAAGATGGCAGCCACAGGTCTGGGCAGTGGCCCCAGGCAGAGCATGGGGGCTTACACGGGACTCAGGGTGTTTCTCTTTTCTCAAGGACCACAGGCTCATAGCGTCTACTGCCCAGGGTCTGGAAACAGCTGCCTCCTACACTGTATCTGTTTCACAGCTGTGAACGTGAGGCATTAGGTCCGGGGCCGCTGAGGCTCTGGGAGCTGGAAGTGCAAGGTGAGGTACGGAGACTTGGTAAAAGCTTCCAGGTGAATGTAATTGGCTTTAATCTGCCCCATGGGAGAATTAGTGGCTAAGAACAGAGGTCCTGGAAGAGAAAGGGTTTACAGATGGCCGCCCAGGGACACCCCAGTGAGATGTGGTGTTAACTAGGCCCTTAGTTAAAAGTTTAGGGAGCTGGAACCCTGGAACTCCTATAGTCCCAGGATGTAACCCTAGCTCGCTCTCTTTTTTTTTTTTAGAAAACTTTTATTTAATAAATATGAATTTCATACGTACAGCTTTTGGATTACAATGGTTCCTTCCCCCATACCCAACCTCCCACCCCCCTCCTATCCCACTCCTGCTCCCTCTCCCATCCCGTTCCTCATTAAGATTCATTTTTAATTATCTTAATATACAACTCTGTACTAAATGGAGATTCCAACAGTTTGCACCCACACAGGCACAAAAGTATAAAGTACTGTTTGAAGACTAGTTTTACCATTAATTCTCATAGTACAACTCTTTAAGGACAGAGGTCCTACATGGGGAGCAAGTGCACAGTGACTCCTGTTGTTGATTTAACAATTCACTCTCTTATTTATGACATCAGTGATCACCTAAGACTCTTGTCATGAACTGCCACGGCTTGGGTCCATGAACTATGACATTATTTAGACAGGGCCATAATCAAAGTGGAAATTCTCTCCTCCCTTCAGAGAAAGGTACCTCCTTCTTTGATGGTCCCTTCTTTCCACCAGGATCTCACTCACAGAGATATTTCATGTAGGCCATTTTTTGCCACAGTGTCTTGGCTTTCCATGCCTGAAATGCTCTCATGGGCTTTTTAGCCAGATCCGACTGCCTAAAAGGCTGATTCTGAGGCCAGAGTGCTCTTCAGGGCGTTTGTCTTTCTAGGAGTCTGCTGTGTGGCCTGCTTCCCATGTTGGATTATTCTCCTTTTTAATTCTATCAATTATTATTAACAGACACTTGATCATATTTATGTGATCCCTTTGACATTTATTCCTATCTTTATGATCAGTTATGCACTTAAAATGATCACTTTAGTAAGATGGCATTGGTACCTGCCAACTTAATGGGATTTGGAGTCCCATGGCAAGTTTTTAGCTTTACCCTTAGGGGTAAGTCCTAGGGAACGTATGCCAAACTGTATATCTTCTCCTTCTCTTATTCCCACTCTTATTTTCAACAGGTAACCCTAGCTCTTTAATTTGGTTGGATACGCCCACTTTCCCAGGATGCACTTGTCATCCCAGGACCAGGGTGCATGCTCAGACCCCACCCTGCGTGTGTATCCAACTAGGGCACCACCCACTTCCTTAGAGAAAGGCAGAAGGTGAGATGGAGCTCTGTTACCACCACCGACCAGGCTCAGACGGACCTCGCCGGCTCTCGCTAACAGGTACTTTTTCCGTTTTTCTCTTTCTCATTCATGGGCAACCCTGTGGCCCACTCACGTTGGCTATTTCTCAGTGTGGGAACGTGAATGCATGTTTATCCCTTCACTGTTAATTAAATCCTGTTGCCATTTGCACACAACACCAGTCTCTCAGAGGCAGGCAAAAACCTGGATTGGAAGTGAATACAGTCACTGTCCACAACAGCACCACAGCCCTCACAGCCCTGAGCGGTCTCACTTACGGCTGTGGCTTTCTGAGTACTTTCGCCCATAAGAACACGGGTTCCTCAGTGCGAGTTAAGTTGGTCAGTTGGCTTTCTATATCAGGCTCTCGAAAACTCACTTACAAGGCGTCTGCTTGAGAGTCACAGCCATGCTTGGTGTGAGAATGAAGAAGAATCTGAAAGGCAAGACCACAGTGACTGCCCCAAGAGAAACACAGGCACTTACTTGCCTTGAGCCCTCTGGTTGGCATCTTGCCCGGAGCCAGTGATCTGACTGGCTAAACTCCGACCACATTTTTCATTGGTAGATTTTTCAAAAGAAAACTGCAGGCTAGTGTTGTGCCACAGTGGCTAAGCCACCACTGGTGACACGGATCCCATGTCCAAGTCCACACTGCTGCAGGCCAGCTCCCTGCTCATGTGCCTGGTAAAGCAGCAGAAAACAGCCTGAGTACTCGAGACCCTGCCACCTGCATGGGAGACCCAGATGGAGTTCCAGGCTCCTGGCTTCCACCTGGTCTATCCTCTGCCGTTGAGGGCATTTGGGAAGTGAGCCAGCAGATGGAATCTCTTTCCCTCTGTCTCTGTTACTCTGCCTTTCAAATAAATAAATCTTAAGAGAGAGAGAGAGAGAGAGAGAGAGAGAGAGAAACTTCTGTGTTAAGGGACAAAGGGCCCTGAGATCTGGATGAGTTCCATTTCTGAACCCTAATGGGTCTGCATAGTTACCTGCAATAGAGAATTCATCTAGTTGTCATCTTCTTCAACACAATTCAGCTCCTGAAGAGCTGATATCTGGCTGCTGTGCCACTTTTTTTTTTTTTTATCAAAAAGAGTGACCTGAATCTTGCATCCACATATACTGCAATTTATTGTTTTGTTTAAATCTGCTGGATCAAGCAAATGTTGGGAGTAGTCTTGAATGTCTGAATACCCTCCTGGTACTATCAGTGATTTAAAAAAAATAATCTATTTTCATTTTATTTGAAAGGCAGACAGAGATATTCCAATTCACCAAATGCTCCCAAAAGTATGGTCAGGCCAAGCTGAAGCCAGGAGTTAGATGATGCTTCAAGTTGTTGGGTCCCTGACACCCACCTGGGAGACCCAAATTGAGTTCCAGGCTCCTGCAGGCATTTGGGGAGTGAACTAGCAGTTGGGCTCTCTCCCTGTTTATTTCTCTCTCAAATTAGCAAATAAGAATAAAAAATTAAGCAATGTAGTATTTGCACATAAGCAATACACATCCTCCCATAGACTTTAAATCATCTTTAGATTGTTTACAATACTAAAAGCAACCCATGCGCTATGTAAACAGTGGCTATAGTATATTGTTTAGGGGATAATGACAAAGCAGAATTCTGTACATGTTCAGTGCAGTCATAAATTTAAAAAATTTGTCATCTACAGCTAGTTGAGTCTGTGGGTACAGAGGGCCTATGGTGCCTGCTTCTGTAGCTCTCTCTCCCAGACACAGGTCCTCCTTGAGGCCAGGGGCCTTGTCATCTCCCTCTCTGCCTCCTGGCACAGAACAAGGGTGGATTTCCTGGTTTCCACCAAATTTATAAGAGGAAGCAATGAGTGACCCACATTATTTGTGCTCAGCCCTGGGTCAGGACCTCAAGATAAAACACTAAGAGGAGATCTGAGATGAGAAATTCCCCCATGAGGGGCGAGGATCTGCATAATTGGTATGTGACTGTTACTTGAAGCCCATCTTCCACAGAATGCTCTTTGGCAATTTTCAGGTTAAATCTGTAACCTGTCACGGCTTTTCCTTGCTATTTAATATCTGCTCCCAGACACCCTCAGGAGTTAGAACATGAAGGCAGCCAGCCTAGCCTGGTCACGGTGGGAAGAGATAAGGAGCCAGCTCTGTGATTCCAGGTTTGCTTTCAATCTCTCTAGCCATGATGTATTTACTGCTAAAATGGTGGTGGCATTATCTACGTTTCTCCCATGGTCGTTGTCAGGATCAAAGAACATACTGTATGGGGAAGGGCTCCGTAAACTGTATAGCACTATTTAATATTAGATTTATGAAGTCCCGAATCCATAGAGGCAGCAGGCTTCGCATTTTGAGACGCTGCTCATCCCCAGGGTGACTGATAGCAGAGCTGTTCTCGCCAGCCCCTTCAGGTTTGTTAGAGATTAGACCCACAGATGTAAAAATATTAACATACGTCAGAGAGCAAAACCATCTGTATTTGTAAAAGAGTAAATATTTCTAGAGGACCACAAAGCAAATATGTCCACCAAAAATCACTAGAGTGAGCTGGGCATCTAGGCATAACAGGATTTTATAAATATCAGAAAATGTGTTGCTGCCAAGTGGGATAAATCATTGTCTCAAAGAAGGTGTAGCATTTCTGCAGAATTGTAGCTGAGAATGTATTTTCCATGGCAACCAAATCCAGTCTCTGGTACATGTAAGGGAGTTTGCAGTTTTGCTATTACCATGCATGGGTAAGCACCTGTTTGGGACAGAAGCTAAAATGACTTTAGCAAATTACATTTACTGGAGTACAATGTAATCATGGCAGCTGACATCACTGGGGTGAATTTTTTCTCAGACCAGAACTGATATCATTTGTCTATAAGAGAGGCAGGTGATTCCTGGATGGTATTTTGCCTGGGCGATCTATTTTGCAAGAAAATCAGTATACACAAAGATACATTGCCACAAAAATATTTTTGACAGTAGACTTGATTCAAGGCTTTTTTCAGATAATACTCCCCACCTTACTAACAGATTACTGTGACAGTGCTTGGTAGGTTTTTGATGGATTGGTGGCAGGAGCACAAGCACTTGAACAATCTTCAGTTGTTTTCCAGGCTCATTAGCAGGGAGCTGGATCAGAAGCAGAGCAACTGGGACTGAAACCAGTGCTCTAATATGGGATGCTGGTATCGCAAGCAGCAGCTTAACCTGCCCCTTCCTGGGCAAGCTGCACAAAAAGGTTCAACTCTGCTGATGAGAGAAGATTTTGAATCTTTCAGATTTTGTTTTTAATTTTCAGTCAACTTCTATTTTATAATTTATCTTGGGATTTCCTCTCTGATCCATGCACTATTGAGAAGTATGTTCAATTTCCAAATATGCAGTTTTCTTAACTCTTCATGGTAACAGGTTTAGAGACTAGTTCTATTATAGTCCAAAAATACTTTGTGTGATTTAAGTCCTTTAGATTTGTGGAGGTTTGTTTTGTGGCCCAGAATATGATCTGTTTTGCTGACTCTTCCACGTGCATTTGAAAACAGTGGGATTCTGTTGCTTTTGGACGGTTGCTCTGTAAATGTGAGTTGGGTCAGGTTGGTGTAGGTTGTTTGGTTCTGCATCCCACTAATTTTCTCCCTTCTTGTTCTACAGCTACTGGGAGGAATGCTGGAGTTTTCAACCACAACTAAGGATTTGTTGGGTCAGCTTTTGCCTCCCATGTATTGGAGCTCTATTGTTAAGCACATAGATGTTTGCTACTGTTAAATCTCTTCAGTAAATTGGCCCCCTTTCTCATACTGCAGTGCCACCTTCATCTCTAGCAATATTCCTTGGTCAAAGTCTATGTTTTTTTTAAAGATTTATTTATGGGGTCGGCACTGTGGCACAGCAGGTTAAAGGCCTGGCCTGAAGTGCCGGCATCCCATATGGGTGCCGGTGCTAGTTCCGGCTGCTCCTCTTCCAATCCAGCTCTCTGCTATGGCCTGGGAAAGCAGTAGAAGATGGCCCATGTCCTTGGGCCCTGCACCCACGTGGGAGACCCAGAGGAAGCTCCTGGCTCCTGGCTTTGGATCGGTGCAGCTCCAGCCGTTTTGGCCATCTGGGGAGTGAACACAATGGATGGAAGACCTCTCTCTGTCTCTACTCTCTCTCTGTAACTCTGTCTTTCGAATCTTTTTTTAAGATTTATTGTATTTATTCAAAAGTCAGAGTTACACAGAGAGAGGAGAGACAGGGAGCCAGGGCGTTAACCTGCTGTGCTACAGCACCAGCCCCTCAAAGTCTACTTATTAAACAAATGTTTTATTGGGGGCCAGTATTGTGGCATGGTGAGTAAAACTACTGCTTGTGACACCGGCATCCCACATGGGTGCCTATTTGTGTTCCAGCTTCTCCACTTCAGATCCAGCTCCATGCTAATGGCCTGGGGAAAAAGCAGCTGAAGATGGTCCAAGTGCTTGGGTCCCTGCCACCCATGTAGGAGACCCGGGTGAAGCTGGCTCAGCCCTGGCTATTGCAGACATCTGGGTAGTGAACCAGCAGATGGAAGATCTCGCTCACTGTTTCTTTCCACCTCTCTCTGCAACTCTTTCAAAATAAATAATTCTTTTTTAAGAAGTATTATTTTTAAAGTTTTAAAGATTTTCATTTTATTCAAAAGGCAGAGAGACAGTGAGAAAGATGGAGAGAGACCTTCCTTCTACTGATTCATTCTCCAAATGCCCACAACAGCCAGAGATGGGCCAGGCTAAAGCCAGGAACCTGGAACGCAGCCCAGGGCAGGGACCCATGTACTCGAGGCATCATCTGCTGCCTCTCAGTGTACCCATCAGCAGGGAGCTGGACCAGAAGTGGAGGAACTGGGACTCTGGGCAGGCACTCTGGTATGGGAGGTGGGGGTCCCAAGCAGTGCGTTTGCCACTGAGCCAAACTCCCGTCCTTGAGGTCCACTTTGTCTGATAATGAGGACAGACCCTCTGTTTTCTTTTGACAGGTGTTAGCATAGAACATCCATTTGACTTGTCTTTCTATTTGAAGTGGGTTTCTTTTAGGCAGCATATAGCTGAGTCTTCCTTTTTTTAAGAGATAGTTCACTCCCCAAATGGCCACAATGGTCAGGACTGGGCCAGGCTGAAGCCAGGAGCCTGGAACTCCATCCAGGTCTGCCACGTCGGTGGCAGGGGCCCAAGCAGTGAGCTGGATCGGAACTGGAGCAGCCAGGACTCAAAGGGGTGCCCATAATGGATGCCTACACCACAGGCAGCAGCTTAACCCCATATGCTATAACACCAGCCCCTGAGTCTTCCTTGTTTATGTTTTTTTCTAGTCTGTCTTTTAATTGGTTTACTTAGAAATGCTTTTGTTTTTTTGCAAATCAGAAAATGTACATTATTTTTGTGATCTTGCTGTCTGCACTTGACAGCTTCTTGTGAAGCCAGGAATGGAAGGAAGTCAGCAGAATCTAATCTTAAATGTAAGGGAGGGGCTGGCACCGTGGCTCACTTGGTTAATCCTCCGCCTGCAGCGCCAGCATCCCATGTGGGCGCCGAGTTCTAGTCCCAGTTGCTCCTCTTCCAGTCCAGCTCTCTGCTGTGGCCTGGGAAGGCAGTGGAGGATGGCCCAAGTGCTTGGGCACCTGCACCCACAAGGGAGACCAGGAAGAAGCACCTGGCTCCTTGCTTTGGATCAGCGCAGCGCTGGCCATGGTGGCCATTTGGGGAGTGAACCAACGGAAGGAAGACCTTTCTCTCTGTCTCTCTCTCTCTCACTGTCTGGCTCTATCTGTCAAAAAAAAAAAAAAATGTAAGGGAATTAACCCTTACCGAGCCCCCATGCTGTTCTCCCAAATCCCCTGCTAGATCCTTGGCTGTCACTCACCTCATGGGATAGAAGTGTTAACCCACTCTTACTGTTGATGCCTTGGGGGCCCTAAGCCGCTGGCTGTTTGTGTACTTTCTCTCCTTCTGCCACAGTCATAACATCATATCAGGGCGAGGACGCCGTAATAGTAATAACATAAAAGCACCTTTCTCAGTGCCCCTTGTGGCTAAGTTTGTCTTGTGACAGTTCTGTTCAGGGAGATGTAAAGTGAGGTCCACACAGTTCCTGAAACTCTCCCCCAAAGGGAGCTTACCTGTTCTCTCTGCTTCTCTGCTCATTCTTCCCTCTACTCTGCTACCTGGAATGTAGATATGATGACTGCTGCACTAGCTGCCACCTTGGAGGAGGGTCTGTCTTGGGGTGGTAGGACAGTGCCTGGGTCCCCGAGAACTGTGGTGCAGGGCCACACCCACCCCTTAATATTCACCTCAAGACTCTGTCTAAGAGAGAAATGAACAAGTTACTCTGGTTTTGGAATTGACCTGAACCCAATCACAATGGGTATAGTCTAAGATTGAGTAACATCACACTGTACCATAATATAATTACACTCTGACCTGTGTTTGGACAGGTTCATACTGGCATCGATAATAGTTTTGTAAGGAAATCAAATAGAATTGGGAGAATACAGCTATTTTATCTGATTTTTCAGTTTACCAAATTAAAACTGGGAAAGCAAACTCTTGGTGGTATGGGTAGTGAAGCCATGGTAAACCCACACCCTATATATATATGGGAAGAACTTAAGACTCAGCTCTGTCCCCACCAGCTGAATGCTTAGGAAATCACTTGAAATTCTGAACCTCAATTTCCTACCCTATAAAATGAAGATATGGGGTGGGGAGGAGGGGCAGGCATACGGTGTAGCAGTTACGATGCCGCTTGGGACACCTGCACGCCAGATTGGAATACCTGGGTTTGAGTCCTGCCTCTGCCTCTGACTCTAGCTTCCTGTTCATGTGCACCCTGGAAGGCAGCAGATCTGGCTCAGGTACTTTGGCTCCTGGTGCCCACACGGGAGACCCGGATGGAGCTCCTGGCTCCTGGCTTTGGCCTGGCCCAGTGCCAGCTGTTGCAAGCATTTGGGAAGTGACCCAGCAGAAAGCAGATCTCTCTTTTTCAGTCTCTGTCTCTCTGCCGTTCAAATAAATAAAACATTAACTCATTTTTAAAAATAAGCGAAATGAAAATATTAACACTTTTTGAACAGTTTGAACAAAGAAAAACATCCCATGGGGGCAGGGTTGAGGAAGTACTAAGCCTTGTGGAATCTAAGGGCCAGTAATAACATGACCAAAAGATAGGAGCAGGCACTGGCCTAGAGTGCATGTTGGAATGGCTAGGTTCCATACCAGCTTCCAGCTCCTGACCCCCGCTTCCTGCTAATGCAGAGCCTGGGAGGCAGCAGTGATGGCTCATGTCATTGAAAGACCTGGATTACATGTGGGAGGCCTGGATGACATGTGGGAGACTTGGATGACATGTAGAAGACTTGGATGGTACATGGGAGACCTGGGTTACATGGGGGAGACCTGGTTTACACGTGGGAGACCTGGATGACATGTGGGAGACCTGGATGACACGTGGGAGACCTGGATGACATGTGGGAGACCTGGATTGCACGTGGGAGACCAGGATTGCACGTGGGAGACCTGGATGACATGTGAGAGACCTGGATGACATGTGGGAGACTTGGATGACATGTGGGAGACCTGGATGACATATGAGAGACCTGGATGACATGTGGGAGACCTGGATGACACGTGGGAGACCTAGATGACACATGAGAGACCTGGATTACACATGGGAGACCAGGATGACACATGGGAGACCAGGATTGCACGTGGGAGACCTGGATGACATGTGGGAGACCTGGATGACACATGAGAGACCTGGATTACACATGGGAGACCTGGATGACACGTGGGAGACCTGGATGACATGTGGGAGACCAGGATTGCACATGGGAGTCCTGGATAGCATGTGGGAGACCTGAATTACATGCTTGACTCTTGTTTTCTGCCAGGCCCAGCCCTAGCCACTGTATCTGGGAAGTGAATGAACCAATGGGAGTACCCTGTCTCTATCTGCCCCTCAAATAAAAAAAAATTTTTTTTAAACTTGGAAGACAAATTTTATGTGCAACCATGAAGGGTAAAACCATCTCAGAATACACTTCCACTGATATACATGTAAGTGTGAATTGCTAGTTAGGAATGAGAATAGACAGAAAAAATTCATGCTAGACAGTAAGTACCTTAATGTAATAACTAAGAATTCAGCCCTTACCAACACAAATTTAGATTTCTATCCTACTTTTATGTCAAATCTCCCAAAATTATTAGTATTTCCTTTATATTACAGCAAATATTTATGGCTTGGTTTTGCTGCATTTCAGCCAACTTTAATCCAGATGCTGATTTAACCTTAGATTTCTGTACAATGCCTGGGAAACTTTGGTAAAAAAAATAATGCTCTGGTGATTTCTCCTCCAAAACATTTCATTTTTAGCATTAAATTAATTAATAAAAAATAAAAAATAAAAAAGGCTAAGTCCATCTGAAATTGGGAGGAAGGTAGGGAGGAAAATTAAACGCCTGGGAGCCTGGCTTGGGCAGGAATGGCCCGAGCAGAGGCTGCAAGGAACTCCAGAGATGCAGGACATAAGGCCGAGGACAGGGGCGTAGGGCAGTTCCGTCCCCCAGCACTAGGCCTAGGGGCAGTGGCAGGTGAACTAGAGGAGAGCAGCTGGGGAGGCTGAGAGCGCCATAACGAGAAACCTTCACCACACATGCACAGTCAAAGCTGTGAGCAGCAGGGAGAGGCTGTGGTGGCAGCTGCATGGGGCTTAGCCAATCTGCCTCCAGTCGGGATGCACGTTTCCCCAGGAGCCAGTCGGGCTGGCAGCGGGTCTGACCCAGATAGGGGCACCACTGGTACCTCCCTGCTGCATTGCCTGCGGGTTTCTGTCTGGTGGGGTTAAGCTAATTCATCCTGCTTTAGAAGCCTCAAGTTTTCAAATAAGGTGATAATGAGGATACTGCGATAGCAGCTTTGCTAGAGAGAGGACCTGAAAGATCTACCTGAAGGCATCAAACAGCACCTCAGGGACAGTGTCTCACAAGGAACTAATCTGCTTTAGGAAGCACATCCAACGGCTCTGTGTCAGCGCTTACAGCTGTAAGGGGGACCTTTCAGTTAATCAGTATCTGGGGCATGGTGGATCATCCAAACTGCAAGGGTCAAACTTGCAAAATTACATTTTTCTGGAGCAATTTTTTAAAAAGATTTATTTGAAAGGCAGAGTTACAGAGAGAGGGAGAGAGAGAGAGAGAGAGAGAGAAGTCATCCACCTGCTGGTTCACTCTCCAGATGAATGCCATGGCTGGAGCTGTGCCGATCAGGAGCCAGGAGCCAGAGCTTCTTCTGGGTTTCCTACATGGGTGCAGGGGCCCAAGGACTTGGGCCATCTTCTATTGCTTTCCCAGGCCAGAGCAGAGAGCTGGATCAGAAGTGGAGCAGGGGCTGGCAAAGTGGCTCACTTGTCTAATCTTCTGCCTGCGGCGCCAGCATCCCATATGGGCACCGGGTTCTAGTCCCGGTTGCTCCTCTTCCAGCTCTCTGCTGTGGCCTGGGAAGGCAGTGGAGGATGGCCCAAGTGCTTGGGCACCTGCACCCGCGTGGGAAACTGGGAAGAACCACCTGGCTCCTGGCTTCAGATTGGCGCAGTGCACCGGCCGTAGCGGCCATTTGGGGAGTGAACCAATGGAAGGAAGACCTTTCTTTCTGTCTCTCCCTCTCACTGTAACTCTACCTCTCAAATAAATAAATAAATAAAAAATCTTTAAAAAAAAAAAAGTGGAGCAGCCAGGACTCGAACCGGCACCCATATGGGATGCTAGCACTGAAGGCAGCAGCTTTACCCACTATGCCACAGCACCGGCCCCTTCTGGAGCACTTTTAAATGTGATTTTAAATCCTTGCCTGGATTGTGGTGCTGGATGCTGGTTTCCCAGGGATCTGAATGTCCTTTCACCCCCACAGCCATCATAGCTTGGGGAAGGCTCTTCCAAGTACAGACCCAACTAGGGACAACTCCACAGACAAGACAGGAGCCATCATCCCTGGAGGTGATTTGAGGACGAGAATCTCTCTGAGGGTGACTAGTGTTAAAACAATGGTAGAAGCTCTTTGCTGTGGCCTGGGAAAGCAGTAGAAGATGGCCCAAGTCCTTGGGCCCCTGCACCTGCGGGAGACTTGAAGAAGCTCCTGGCTCCTGGCTTTAATCTGCACAGCTCTGGCCGTTGTGGCCATCTGGGGAGTGAACCAGTGGATGGAAGACCTCTCTCTCTCTCTCTCTCTGCCTCTCCTCTCTCTGTGTAACTCTTTCAATAAATAAATCTTTAAAAAAAAAAACAATGGTAGATAGAAATGGAAGCCACAGTGGATTCCCAAGGCTAACTGCCTATAGCCACGTAAAGGAAACCTAAGTAACTCTGATTACAGCTAACCTGAGCACAACCAAAACACAGACATAAGCTTTTGTCCTTATCAGCAGGAGTCAATGAAATTGAACCATCCAGCTATAGACAAATCAGATTACCCTAGCTCTGTTTGCCTTAAAAAAAAAAAAAAAAAAAAGAATATGATTGTCAATCATGAGAAGGGCAGAAGGACTCTCTCCGGCAGCTTCCATAAGCCACGCTGTAGCTGCTGTGATGCCCACACCTCGTGCCATCTTTCAGTTCAAGTTCATGGCCCTGTTCTTTTCTTTCTTTTTTTTTTTTAAATTTTGACAGGCAGAGTGGATAGTGAGAGAGAGAGAGAGAGACAGAGAGAAAGGTCTTCACTTTGCTGTTGGTTCCCCCTCCAATGGCTGCCGCGGCCGGCACGCTGATCCGAAGCCAGGAACCAGGTGCTTCTCCTGGTCTCCCATGGGGTGCAGGGCCCTCATCCTCCACTGCACTCTCGGGCCATAGCAGAGAGCTGTCCTGGAAGAGGGGCAACCAGGACAGAATCCGGCGCCCTGACCGGGACTAGAACCCGGTGTGCCGGCGCCACAAGGCGGAGGAATAGCCTATTGAGCCACGGCACCAGCCCGGCCCTGTTCTTTTCTATGTATGATAGGTTCTTCCAGTTATAACTTGACTAATGCCATTTTCGACACCTGTTAGGCTGCACAGGAGGCCGCTGGTTTGCACAGAGCTTCTGCACTCAGTGCAACAGATCAAACCACAATCGAGTCATGCCTGCTGAAGCCCCACGTGACCATGCCAAAACGAGGTTGTTCATAAGACTGCAGGAAACCGGAAGAGAGAGATAACAGGCAAGTCCCCGAACAAGTTAATTTTAGCTCGTGCGATAAGGAAGTCCCTCTGCCTTAATCCTCCCAAGGAAAGTAATTTGGAAATGACCAGTCTGCTTTTCTGGTCTTCTCAGCACTTCCCCGTCTATCAAACCTGCCTCCTATGCTCGCTCATTGGAATACTCTTCTGTTTTGTACAATGAGAGGCTGCCTAACTCCACAGTCACAAATAAAAGCCAATTAAGATTTTTCAGCTAAATCTGTGGTAATTTTGTCTTTGGACACAACAGAGAGTCCTGTCCCCAAGGAGATACAATGGAACGCAGGCATTTTGCAAGTTCAGTCACTCCACAAGGACTCAACTCCTGCACGAAAACGGTTCCATCCCAAGTGTACTCTGATATAGAACTGGATATTACACATCTCTTCTCAGTGTGTGTGTGTGTGTGTGTGCCCCACACATGCTCACAAGGGAGGAAATGAGAGGGAGAGACGGGGATTTTAATTTCCTCTTTATAAGGCAACCCTAGCTACACTGCGATTAAATCCACCCAATTTGTTTTATCTTGATTTACAAAATAAACACCAAGGACTTTTCACATTCAGGTGAGTTTAGAACGAATGTGAAATCTTACCAGAATTACTGGTCTACTCTTTTGTTAATATATTTCCAAGAAAATATAACAAAACAGAAAAAAATAATTTGCAAACACTAACCTTATTAGTGACATAACTACATAAAAATGGGAAAAATCTGTCGCTCAAAAGGGGAGGGCTTATTCTAGTTTCTCATAATTACAGGATATTTTCTGCCTATGAAATGACAGCTATAACGACTTGGTTACATGGAAAGAGGAAGGGGGAAGCAGTTTTCTTTCCTTAGGTAGGTGGAGTGGGTAATGCCGGGAGTGGTTCTGGCACCCATTGGCCAGGGGCCTGTTTACACTGGGCATCAGGTTCAGCAGGGTGCTCAGTCACTGTGCTCTTTCCTTGCCTACATGCATCAGCTACATCTAAGTCTGTGTGCAAGGCCCATCTTAGCACTTCCTCCACGGAGCCTTTATTTACAAACCCCTTGAAGATATGGGCTGAGTCCTACTCCTACACAATCCCCAGGTCACGTTAGCTCACATAACCACTCTGTGCATACTGGAGGGAGAGTGTCCCTTTTTCTGGGTTGTAGTAGCTCCATGCCCCATCTGTTCCCAGCCTTGTCCCGGACCTAAATCAAAACTCCATTCCTTCAGTGTATTTCCTTGGTTCTCTAACTTCACTGTACTTAATAATAATAATAAAATAACAATGCTGGGATATTTAAAGATGCATAGGAGTCACCCTCAAATATTTTCATTCTGTTGACTGGAGTGATATCACAGGTGATTCTAATATGCACCAATGCTGAGGGCCACAGCTGATCCTGACTCCATGCTAAAAGCCTTTGATTGTATTCATTCATCCCAAGTCTGTGCACAAACCATGGACCCTTAATAGCAGGTACAGGTAGAATTTTAGGCAGCAGTTTCATGGATATAGAAAAGCTTTTATTTTTTACTTATACATATTTATTTGAGAAGGACAGAAATAGAGCTAGAGATATGAGAGACAGAGAGAGCTCCCATCTGCTGGTTTATACCCAAAATGTCCACAATGGTTGGGGGTTGGGCCAGGGCCAGGGAATCAGGAAGTCAATCCAGATCCACATGGATGGCAGGGACCCAGTTCCTCGGGCCATCATCTGCTCTCCCCCGGGGTCTGATGAAAACCAGACCCTCTGATACAGAACATGAGCATCTTAACTGATCTTACGTGTTAGGCCAAATGCTTGCTCCAATATTAAAACTGGAATCTGCAATAAACACGCCTGAACCATCTGCTTCTTCCTTTCGTCCACATCTAAGTTCTCAACCTTTAGAAATTCCATCTTCCTGTCATCACTGGTTATCCTTCTTATCTCTAGTGGCTCCCATAAGACTCAGCTGATGAGAGGCTCAAATAAGGATAGGGCAGGGGGGCTGGCACTGTGGCATAGCGGGTAAAGCCGCCGCCTGCAGTGCCAGCATCTCATATGGGCACCGATTTGAATTCTGGCTGCTCCACTTCCAAATAAGCTCTATGCTATGGCCTGGGAAAGCAGTAGAAGATGGCCCAGTCCTCAGGCCTCTGCACCTGTGAGGGAGACCCTGAAGAAGCTCCTGGCTCCAGGCTTCAGAGTGGCCCAGCTCCAGCCGTCGTGGCTATCTGGGGAGTGAACCAGTGGATGGAAGACCCCCCCCCCCCGCCTCTGCCTCTCTATAACTCTGCCTTTCAAATAAATAAATAAATCTTATTTTAAAAAAGATAAGGCTATGGGAGGTGGTAAGGAGATACAACTGGCCACAGCTTGCTCTCTGGAACATTCACAAGGAAGGTTTGTAGGCATCATTCTCTTCTCTCACTGCTGGTTAGGACTCCAGAATTTATGGGCTTCACAGTTCACAGTTGATCCCCCACTTTCTCTTCAGTCTTTCTTCTCTCATAAATGCAATCTCCACAGTGGATTGGCTCCTTTTCACTAAAGTGTCTGGTGGAGTCTGGTGCTGGGCTGAATGGGCTGGGCCTTGGTGCCGCCAAGGCCTTCTGCCCTCCCTTCATAGCTTTTTTTCATTTGGCAGATGAATTCTGGTTCTATTCTTAGCCCTGATGCTAAAATCAAATGACTTAAAGCAAACAAAACAAAACAAAAACAAAAACAAACAAAAAACCCATGCAATCCTTGGGTAGTGCCTGCTTCATTTAGAATCTCTGGGAAAGCACAGAGGGAAGCAACCTTGGACTTGGCAAACCTGACCCAGCTGCATCAGGGTGCACATCTTTTGCCCATGGGAATGCTGATGAGGGCAGGAAGTTGACCTAAGTCTGTGGTTCTCAAACTGTACGCCAAGGCACCAAGAGTCTCTTGCAGCCAACTCAGAGGGGCGTTGCTGGATTCTCAGAATTACAAGGGAAACACTCTGTTGGGTCTCTCTTGAACACCATACAATCAATCTCTTAGCTCTTGGTTTCAACATGCGCTCATGCTTTGTTCCTTTAGATAATGTCATATCTTTGTGAGGCTGAGATTTTGGCTGTTGCAGTGAAAATCAACATGAAACCAGACATATATATAGATGGTATTATCTAACCCCACTCTAATGTTTGAGAAGCTGTGTGGGGGCCCAACAGACCGTGGAAACCACTAGCAAGTGATTGTGTTTATCTAAGAATGAAAGAAAAGGGGCTGGTGGTGTAGCATTGTGGGTAAAGCCTCCGCCAGTAGTGCTGGCATCCCATATGGGCACGGTTCGAGTTCCGGCTGTTCCACTTCCAGCTCTCTGATATGGCTTGGGAAAGCAGTATAAGATGACCCAAGTGCTTGGGCCCTGCACCCCATGGGAGACCAGGAGAAGTGCCTGGCTCCTGCCATCGGATCAGCGCAGTGCGCCAGCCGTGGTGGCCATTGGAGGGTGAACCAACGGTGAAGGAAGACCTTTATGTCTCTCTCTCTCACTGTCCACTCTGCCTGTCAAAAAAATAAAAAAAAAAAAGAGGAAGGGGGAGTAGAATACATGTTGCAAAGAGACCTTGGAGAGGTCTCTCATTATGTGTGTGTGTGTGTGCATGTGTGTGCGATGGGTGCATCCACATCACAGACAGCCCTGTTACAGCCCCATAGAACAGTGGCTCCACTGGCGAATGGATGGCAAGACCTCCTTGGAGAGGAATGAGAACAGTCCCCGCAGGTGGCAGAGTCACCATCAGCGGGTATGCCAGGGCTTCCCTTCATGGGAAAGTGAGGCACTCTCAATCTGAGACCCTGAGGACGCAGTGGCTGAGGAGGGGTGATCACCTTGGAGAAGGAACTCCAGTGGGTGCTCAGAGGTGAAAAACAGGGAGTTTTGGCAATGGGGTCATCCCCAGGGGCTGCTATTGGGGATGACCTCATTGCCAGAAGATTGGAAGGGATGACTTTGAAAACACAACTCAGCTTCCTTGAAAATGAAGACACCTTGGCTTCCCGCATAAACTCTGCCATTGCCTTTCCTGGCCTTTCCTTAGAAAAGCCCACATGTGAGTTAAGCTCCTGGGCTCCTGGCCAGGAAGGGGAGGGTGGTGGTGGTGATGGTGGGGGGTAGGTCCCTTGCAGTGAGGGCCAAGTGGAGCCCCTCCAGACCCCACACAGGTGCCCTGGGAAGGGAGTACTGTTATTTACTGCTTTCCCTCAAGGGCTCCTGTTCTTAAAAGGGGGAAGAGGCTACTGCTGACCTAGTCCAATGATGCAAAAAGTCACAAAATTTGGGGCTGGCACTGTGGCACAGTAGGTTAAGCTCCCATCTGCAGTGCCACCATCCCATATGGGTGCCAGTTGGAATCCCAGCTGCTCCATTTCTGATCCAGCTCCCTGCTAAGACTCCTGGGAAAGCAGTGGAAGATGGTCCAGGTGCTTGGGACCCTGCACCCACACTGGGAGACCTGGATGAAGCTCCTGGCTTCAGCCTGGCCCAGCCTTGGCCGCTGTACCATTGGGGAGTGAACCAGCGGATGGAAAAAGATTCTCTCTCTCTCTCTCTGTATTGCTGCCTTTCAAATAAACACATTTTTAAAAAGTCACAAATTCACAAGGGAGAAAAAATAAATTTTAAAAAGGGGTAGGGAGCAGAAAGGTGGAGAACTCAGTGCCCTGTCCACTGTACTCCCAGGCATCTGTGGTCTCCGGGGAGCTGTGCCCTTCTGCCTGTTTGCATGCTTGGGCACCTGCCAAGGAGGATGAGCTAGCTCATGAAGGAAACCACCCCCTGTCCCTGGGCAGCTGCTCCCAGGGCATCCAAGACAGAGAAATGCTCACTGGGAAAGAGGATAGCAGGCGAGTAGGAAGAGGCCATGTCTATTTCACCTCTGCCGACTGATTCCCGAGGCGACCATACCCAATTGTCAAGAGAGAAAGTGGAATGAAGGAATGAGAATGTGGCAAGCAGCCACTCTGGTCCTTGGTCTCCAATGCAAGCTGAGCTCTTAGCACAGCCCCGGAGCTGGAGCTCATCGTTGCATTCCGAGGTCTTAGGCTGCTCAGCCTGAACCATATCCTCCCTTCGTGAATCCCACAGGTTAGGAATTCCAGCATGAACCTTCCTGTTTTGAATTCAGCCAGATTTGTGGTTTTGCCCTTGTTCTAGATCACGGCGTATTTCAGGGCTGGATGTATTGTGGCAGGAAGCCATGGAACATCTGCATCCTGCAGCCCCTCGCCCCCCACCCCTTGTGTGATCAGAGGGCGTCCGCGTGGAGGGGCGCGTCTCACTGCAAGCAACCCAGACTGATGCATGCCCTGCCAGCTGCGGAGGGCAGAGTCAGGGCCTGATTAGCTCAATTACGAAGCTGTCTTTGTAGCAACAGAGATTGAGAAATTACGGCTCCCTGCAAGGCTCCGGCAGCCCACCGCTGCGCTGGGGAAATGCTCCATTCATTGTGCAGGCTCACTCGGGCTTGTTACGTGAGACATAATTGCTTTTGTTACACATTCACACGGATCAGGAAAAGACATTCTTTATGCTCCTCATTTGCAATGCCCTACTTACCAACTTCATCCCTGATGTTTGCAAGTTCGATTGACAGCTCTTTCTCTTTCACAAGGGCACTTTCATTCTGAAAAAAGCAAAACGGATACTGAGAGTCCCCTAGTTTTATGCTAGATAGGCACTTTCTTTCACATGTTTAATTAATGAATCATATTAAGCAAATATGTATAAGTCCAACTCTTCAGGAGATAATTTTCTTATTATATAAAGCATATTAAAAACTTACAAAGTCAAATCTGACTCATTCGTTGGAATCACATTCAAATGGCAAAGCTCGCAATACAATATTACTGATACCCACAGCTGTGCTTTTCTCTCTATTCCATTCTTGTATGTTACCCTGCCACAGTTACTTGCATGTCTATGTCCTGTGCAGTAATCTGTCATATGTCATTGTACACTGTGATCATTAGTAGTATGATGAGGCTTTTTTTTTTTTTACCATATTTCTCTGAGAGGCAAATGCTTGTTTTACCAACTGTCCCCTGAAACTTACCCTTTGGTCCACACACCTGATTAGCAACCCAATAAATAATGAAGATTAAGAGCAGAGGAAATATTTCTCTTTATAGTAAGACCAACAGAAATACATAAAGGCTTCAAGTTTTTATTTTTTCTTTCTATTATCAGCATCGGTAGAGAGAACAAGAGGAAATCTCACACTTGAAATATTATTTAGTGCTAAGAATGTCATTTCTAACCAAATGACTGATAGATTGTTCTCAAATCAAATGCATTCTATGACATCAAATGGAAAAACAGTGGAAAGTAGGCTTAATTCGTCATCTGGGTTATTGAGTTGCCACGAGCAGTTTATGATGGTGTCATTACTGATCAACTCTAGGGAAGACAGGCTTCAAGTCAGACACACAAACACACAGGCTGTCAAAGCAAGCCTCTGCCATGCTATAGGAGGCGCTCCCAGACAAACTGACTTCCGGAGAAGGAGTCTTGGCTACCACGTGGCCCCAACACCTGGAGTGCATGTTGTCAGGGCCTGGTGAGTGTTGTTCCTTTGTCATCAACCTTGCCCTGTGGTTTCAGTACCCCTGCAGATCCTGTGCCCAGTGGGACTAAGGTGTTTTCACAGGCCTCTGAGGCCTCTGTCTGGATCTGTATTGAAACTCAGATAACAAGGGTACTACTTCAGGTTGATGAATAGTCTAGGGGCCTCCGAAGGGCTGTTGCTGAGCAGTGACATAATAATCCATTGTAAAACTTGGTTTCAGTCATAAACAGAGAGTTATTTTAGCCATAGATACCAACAGTTATTAGCTAATGGCTCTCTTAACAACAAATGGCACTACCATCCATCTTTCGCAAGACAATGGGCCCTTCCAGTGTCTACACCTGTGTGTCCCTCCAGAATTCATGGCAGAACTCCTAACCCTTGAGGTGATGGTGTTAGGGTGTGGAGACGTTGAGAAGTCTCATGTGAATGGGATTAGCACCCTTATAAAACAGGCCCCAGAGGGCTGCCTGGCCCCCACGTGAGGACACAACAGGATCTGTTTGTGAGAAGGTGTCTCTGACCAGGCAATGAACCTGCTGCCTTGATCTTGGGCTTGGAGCCTCCAGACTGGGCACAAAACACTTTTATTGCTTGTAGGCCACCCAGTTTGTGCTATTTTTTACAGCAGCCTGAGCAGACTAAGACAGACCCACAACTCATTCAACTCAATCATAAAGTTCTCTCTTCCCATCCAGCCCATGGCATATTAGTTTTCCCTGAATTTTAGGGCAAACAGTTACATGTAAGCGTGTATGTGCTTTGAAATATTAGCCAATGCTATTTCCATGCTATGCCCACTTCACAGAGTGGTCATGAGGGCTAAATTAATACATGTGATGGAGTTATAACAGTGCAGCACTTAGCAAGCTCATGCAAGTGTTAGTTTGTTGTTATAGGTCTATTGTTTATTACAACTAGAAAATATCTTATTGATAATAGGTGCTTTTCTGTATTAATTATTAAATATGCTTAGAGTTCATATACCAGAATCAGACCTGGTTTGGTAAGCACCTTCCTGGCTCTGCCCTGATTCTACTCGAAGCTTGAAAATGTGGTTTAAAGATTGGGGAATCACAAAAAGGCAAAGTGTTCTAATCAGATATATTGCAAGGATGACATGCTTGTCCTAATAGCAGCATAACATGGCCAGCTGACAATCAACTTGTTACTACAAATTAAGAAACTGTGGCATTTTGGAAAGGGACAATTTCATTATTTATTCTAAAAGGAACTAGTGAAAAACCCAACTACTTTCCACTAGCAAGAATAATGTTGAACACTCATATCCTTTTATTCCTAAACATAGCCAGAACATTGAAATGCTGTACTTATCAGTCCAGAAATAGCATCACTGAAGTGTTCCCTGTGAGTGATAAGAGGTGCAAAGATTCAGATGAGGCCAGTGAACAATCAGCATTTAACAAAAATAATGAGCTAACTCTAATATCTAACCCAAAGCCCATGTCTCCCTCAGTTCCCTGGAGTGGCCCTTGACAGATGGTGATGGTGTTGTACTATGGTTTGAATAGGATAGGGCTCCTGAAGTCATGCAGATGATTAAGTTCCAAAGTCATGTTCTGAGGGTTCTAAGAGAGTGGACACCTAATCCACATAGGGTGTTCAGCAGGTGGGCCAAGTGGGAGGTCCTTAGGTCACTGCAGCAAAGCCCTTGGTAGGCAGTTCTTGAGAGGGGCTGAGCCCCAGCCACTCTCTCTGTTTCCTGGCTCATGGTGTGATTCCTCCTCCACAATGCTCCACCATCACCACCCTCCAGGCTCACCACATGGCCAAATCAGTCCAATCTTGGACTGTGAACCTCCAAAACCATGAGGAAAAACAAACTTCCTTCCTCTGCAAGTATCTTGTCTTAGGCCTTTCACTATAACAACTAAGAGCTGATGAACACATGCCCATTGTCATGACAAAGAACTCTTGAAGTCACAGAGGAATCAGGTGTTTGGGAAGGAGGGGCCAGAGGCCATGTGAGAAGGACAAGCCTCAGGCAGACCCAGTGCTGGGGAGATGGGCAATGAGAGCTTCAGACTCCAGTCACTCTGGTGAAAGCTGGTGCTGGTACCTTGTGGCCAGGCCTTTAGTAGAACAATGGGAACAAAATGAGAGGATAAAAGAAAAGGAAGGCAGTGGGGAGACAACATGGAAGAGGAGGGAGGAGAGAAACAGAAGTTGTGGGGAGCAACTCGGACTAGACTAAGTTACTGGAATTAAGACTTATTCTATGCATCTGCTCTCCCACAATATGGCGCTGGGAGAGGAGGAAACAGCTTCTACACAGCTGCCTCCAGTTCAACCAATAAACAGCAGGACCTGCTCCTGATTGGAGGAGAGCAGCGTACTCGGCGTTGTGGGTAGCAGAGTTGGGATTGGTGGAAGAGGACTATAAAGGAGGAGAGAGACAACATGCACCAGGAACATCTATCTGAAGGAACACCTGAGCAGCCCCCGAGAGAGCCGGCCGGCGGTGTGCCGCTCCCCCGCGGAAGTGGGGAAAGTGGCAGGGGGAACCGCCCTTCCACAGAAGTGGAAGGGACGGTAGCCAACCCGGGAAAAACCAGCAGCAAACCCAGGGAGGGCCGAGCAGACAAGAACAGCGCAGGGTTCAGTGTCGCTCCTCCACGAAGACGGGGAGCAACAGAAGTGGAAACAGAGGCCCTCACCATCTCCATTTGGGGAAGCAGAAGTCATGGAAAGAGATAAAACTGAAGTTGGCCCCATCTACCTTCATCCCCACCTGTTTTCAAGTGCAGGCTACAAATCAACCCATTTCAAACTACAACCATCCAATGGCTTACCAAGGGTGGGTGGAATGCACAAGGTAAGCCACCAAGCTGGTGAGTCCTGGCTAATTATTATTCGTGAGCTACTAAAGGTTATTAATGCTTAGCTTATCCAAACATGTCCTGTAGGCCAGGCACAGTGCTACGTATGCCCTTTACCCCACTCACCCCTCCAAATACTGTCGTTTGTGGGGGCTGGGTTCCAGTTCCTGTGGACACCAAACTCTGCAGATGCTCAAGTCCCTTGTATGAAGTGGCATGGAACCTATGCACATCCTCCCCTAGGCTTTCAGTCGTCTCCAGATTGTTTATAATGCCTAACATAATGTAAGAAATACGTAGACAGTTGCTGTACTGTATTTCTTGGCAAAGAGTAAGCTAAAAAGTCTGTGCATATTCAATACAGACACAGTTTTTCCCCTCAAGATTTTCAACCTGTGGCTGGTTGAAGCCACACATAGGGGCTGACTGCACAAGGCAGTGGATCCTGGGGTTCATTTCTCTTTATGGAGGAGGAAACTGGGGCTCAGTGGTGACATATGCCCCTGCACAACCCACCAGAAGATGGCAAATCTGGAGTTTTAACCCAATGTTAAATCATTAACACAATCAATCATTAGCATTCCTCCTCCCTACACTTAAATAGATGCAACCTCAAAATCCAAATTGCACTGATCCTCGGTTTGGATCTGAGTGCTTCTTACCACAAATCTTTCACATCTGAGGGGAAGAGATGCAGAATCAGCCCCTGACCACTCCATCTCCATGAAAAAATTCCCTGGCTGCATTCACACCCCACCAGACCACCTAAACTATCTGTCTTTATCCTTGGCATTGACTTGTGAGTAATTGTCAGTACATTTCTGGCATTCAGACCCACTTCAGTTCAGTCTGCTTGGGCTGTAGCTTCTGACAGGGGGCTGTTTAGTTTCCTGAACAGCCTGTAGAAGGACCTTGCTGATGGCCTTTGAACACATCCCCGCCAAGGTGCTGGCTCAGCTCAGCTGGGGCTCGCTCAGCCCAGCCAGTTGGTGCAGTCTGGCGACAGCCTTTCTTCCTTAAGTGCTTGTTTTTGAAACCCTATCAATTCTTCTAATTTATGAATTCTCTGCATCAAGTAAGGTACTGTTTGTTTCCTGCAAGCCAAACCAGAATGACGTCAACAGCTAGGACTGCAGGCCCCCTGTTCCTTAGGCAAGCGGTGAATTAAAGGAAACTTCCACTTACTACTTCTTGCCCCCGAAAGATGTCCCTTCATTC